AATGTGGCAAATGTGTTAATACTTTAAAATTACCTGTTTCATTGTAACTCGTAAATAAAATAATAAATGTAACTTATAAAGCCATCTATCAATTTCTTACATTATCTTAATGAATTATATTAATATTATATTTATTTATTAATATAATATTTATTAATATATATAATGCAAGGTCTGGTTATATTATTAATGGTTAATAATTTAAAAATTTCGGTAAAACATGGATGAGTTATAGTTAAAAATATTAAGGTATACGTTTCCGGAAGTTTATCCGACAGGAGAAAAGCTTGTCTGACTTTACAAGAAAAGATGCAGAAGTACTTAAATTGCCAAAAATAAAGGATACAGACAAGTTCACCCTGCACATACATTGATGAGAAAAGATTGTAGAATGCCGCAAGATAGACATGGCGGATAAAATCCACAAGCTACAAGCTTTTATCATCATGAAAAAATCCTACAGACCTTGCAGGGTTTGCGTATTGAGATATCTTGTGTATTACAAGTGATAACAGGCAGGAAAAAATTCCGCAGGCTATCCAAAGTAAAGCATCTGCGAGATATATCGCATGAACGCATGTAAAAGTTCCTGCATGGTGTGCCTAGAGAAAAATCCTTCAGGATCCTGCAGAAAAGAAAAACTGCAAAAGCAAACCCATTCTTTCTGTTCTATATACTAGACAACGACTGAAGTTGTGCAATTAACAAGTGCAATTAGTTACATGGCACTAATCACTAGTGACGCACATAATCTTTAGTATGCATAGCATTAAACTGTATACGTACAGGCTTTATCAGAATAGCGAGTTGACGTGAATATTAGTGACTAATGCGTCAGTGATTGGTGTCATAACTTCGATCGTTGTCTAGTATATAGAACAGAAAGAATGTTTACTTTTGCAGTTTTCCTGCAAAAGTAAACGTATTTGATTCTTCCATGTATCTAGTTAAGATTAGTTGTGTATATTTTTTAGCTGCTGTTATAATACTTTCTAGTATTCAAATTTTAGCTCGTTTACCAATAATTATTTAATTTATAATAAGATTGAAATATGTCCGGCGATAATCCAAGTCTAATTACTAGCTTTCATATAGGACAGCGGTTTGACATTAATAATCGAAGTGATTTGTATGAAGCGAAGTCAGTTCTGTTGGAAGGTGCAAGAAATGTAGCCGCAAGATTTGAAGATGATCAGAATAGTATTCTAAATAGCCGTGTATGTGTTACAGGCTATATTAAAATTCAGATGTCTGCATAGCTCGATTTTAAGTTAGCCTAGGCTAATTTAAAATCTGACTAGGCTGTATTAAAATTTCAAGTTAGCCTAGGCTAATTTAAAATCGAGCAATGGAACATGGATTTATGACAAAGAATAAAGTGAGTGCAATAAAAAATTATGTAGCTTAATGACCTGATGTAGAAAGACAAGGCACCACTCACTAATCTTAATAGAAGTATATTTGACGTAGTTCTACTTTATACACAAACAATTTTGCTTAGTTCGTGTTATCGTTTTGAATAACTTAAATTGTTCAAAGATAATAGAGGAAATAGGCTGTATTCATAAATTACGACGGCAAATTTAAGAGATACTATCTGTTCTATGAATGAATTATAGGACAGTGCAAAAGGAAGAGACGTTCTCAGCTCGTTATGTTTAAATTAAAAACAAAGTATAACGCTTTGTTGATTATGCTAAAAATATAGACTCCTAACTTCAGTTGACCATATTCAGTATACTGAAAAATAAAAGGGTAAATACTTTTTGTTAGCTTCATCCGTTACATATACGTATAGCGACTATTTCTTAAGGTTCAATGTTCATAATGCGAATAGCTATTGCTTTCTTTTCGTTTCAATCGTTTATGTAGTAGAAAATGAGAAAAGATACCGGTGAAAATGCACAATGAATCCCGTATACAAAATTTTGTATACTATCAAAGACGGTAAGGAGAATGGCGAGATAAAAGGAAGAAGACCGATAGAGAGAACCGGGACCTTTTGTGTGTATTTTTATACAAGTTTGTATAAAAATACTAATTGTGAATTTTTTTTGATATCATTCATATCAATATAGTATGCTCGCTTTGTGTGTTAGCCTATTCCATGTAACTATAAAAGAAAGACATCACCGCAATATGCTCGCTTTGTGTGCTATCCTATTCTATTTAACTATAAAAGGAAAACATCACCGCAAAAACATTCTCTTTTCTAACTCTTGCTTTTTTTCAACGTCACTTGTCATCCTTTTAATCATTCTTGTTAAATGGCTTTACCGGTAACTTCAGTAGAAGTTGTCGATGATGCAGAACTATTATTTTTCAATGACGTCGATAAATATTTAAATTCTCTGAATGAAATATTTCGCGAAAAACATATTATAAAAAGAATTATACATCAAAATATTATAGCGGCATTATCATTAGAAAAAGGTAAATCGTCAAAATCGTTTTCTCCGGCATTTGCATTTTGGGCTAGAAAAAATTTCGAGAAAAAAGAAATTTCAGGTGTTGATATTTTATATTGTATATCGAGTAAAAAGCCAGTTTGTATTTATGAATCATTTTATCATATTATCCAAGAATGTCACAAAAATATTTCACATGGCGGTCGCGATAAAACAATTGCTGAAGTTGCAATACATTATTCGTGGATTCCAAGAAATGTAATTGAAATTTATCTAAAACATTGTTCAGCTTGTCAGCTACGAAAACCGATCAAACATCCAGTCGTTTCAAAGCCCATTATTTCGTTAGGTGTCATGACGCGTCTTCAAATCGATTTGATTGATATGCGAACACGTCCGGATGTTATATCAATTGATGTTTCGTATTTATGGATTTTAAACTGCATTGACCATTTTTCTAAATTTTCGTGGAGTTACCCATTGCAGAGTAAATCAGCGGTTGAAGTGGCCCAAAAATTAAGAGCATTATTTTTCGTTTTCGGACCGCCACGTTTATTGCATTCGGACAACGGAGCCGAGTTTATCGCTAATGTTATCGTTGAATTGAAAGTATTGCTTACAGACATGTGTTTTATTCGAAGTCGTCCCCGTCATCCGCAATCTCAAGGTTGTGTTGAGCGTGCAAATGGTGTTTTGACGATTGCTTTAGGCAAATGGTTAGTAGACAACACTCAAGTCATTGGTCAGAAGGTCTGTTACCTGTCGTTTATGGGATCAATACACGTGTGGCTGCTGCAACAAAATGTACTCCATACGAGGTTATGTTCGGCCAGCGTCCGAGATCCAATTCCGATTTTTGGAAGATTGTGCAAGATCAAGATATACAAGATGAAGTTCAACTACCAACACCTGTTGAAGAAAATGAAGATTTACAAGATCAAGTTGATGTTACGAATCAATTAAATTCAGTTACCAGCAAAAACCTCGTTGTTGTTGATCCATTATTTGATAATCCGGAAAATAGTACTATTTCAAAGTCGCTTATTGATTTATCGTTCTCGTCCAACGTTATTGATAAAACGTCATCTGATGATTTGTTGTCGAATAATTTAATGTCGTTTGATTCACCAACTACTGCTTCTTTTCCACCAAGATTGCCATCTAGCCCAATATTTAATTTAAACATCGATTCATTAATTCCACCTAATTCACCGGTTGAAACTAATCCCAAAACAAGTGCTGAAATACTCCTCGACGATCTAGTTGTTTTTATTGATCCGCTTTCTTCGGTTGTTGTCCCGTCAAATGTTATTCCTGAACTTCAATCAAAACCATCAACTCCATTTTCATCTATCCGTAATACTAGTCAATCATTAATACCAGTCAATCATTAATACCAGTTGCCGATTTATTAGCTATATTATCTACATCACCCATACCATCTACCTGCGATGTTCCATCTTCGACTAATAACATGTTTAATATTTTCTCACCCCGACATACTCTAGTTCGTAAACAAGCTGAAGGAAATTATTTGGATACAGCGAACAAAAAAAGAAAAAAGTACGACGACCATCTCAATAATTTAGCCGAACAATTCAAATTACGTGATTGCGTTGGTATTCCAATACATTCTGTTGATCGTACAAATACCGATGCCAAATTACTTCCATGCTTGATTATTGCAAAAGAAAATTGATAGATGGCTTTATAAGTTACATTTATTATTTTATTTACGAGTTACAATGAAACAGGTAATTTTAAAGTATTAACACATTTGCCACATTTAATTGCTAGTTCAGTTCTAGACAAAGTACCA